AGCTGTTTTTTCATCCTCTTGTGAAAACATTTAATAGAAATTATGTCTCTGAGCATTTGTAGTTCAATGTGTTTAATGTAACTCTGTGTTGACACGAAACAAAAGTACAAACTTTAATTGCACTTTTCCCTGCCCTACTTTACACATTTAATCTAAACTCTCCAGTTTTTTTGCCATCAGTTGCTACCCCCGCACCTAGTCTCTCCTGCTCACCCCCCTTTTCCTTCTGTTACAGTACACCTTTAATCATCCTCCCCATGCCTTATGTGTTGCTTCCATGTGCTCTGTCCTTGGGCTGTGCACCTGAACTTGGTCCCATGTGTTGTGTTTGAACAGTAGAAGGTGTCTTGGACAAGGATCCGTACTCCCCATGGGTTGTCTGTATCCAGTATCTGTCATCAGCATCCTGCATCCAGTGCCTGACCACGTACTCTAACTAATGGCCTGTTCTTTATTTGCCTGTAGGCAATTACTTGCATCTATCATCATCTCAAATTAGCATTTTTAGGTAAAATCCATTTTCTAAGATGTCAGTCTGGCTTCCTTTGTGAACATTGTTTGCAGAGAAAGAAGTATTCAGGTCTGTTAGTATGTTCTAGTAATCAGAAGTACCTAAGCTGTGTCACAGTGCAGGAACACCCAGTTTAAATCCAGTTCTCATTTTATTTAGTGGCCTGGAGTTCAAAAGTGAATTGTTCAATGTGTGTTCATTAGAGACTGATTGATTGCTTAACTCTGTGAATGTGAGTTTGGGGGTGAGGAAGGCAGAAGAAGAGGAATTTGCATTTCCCAAGACTTAGGGTGTCTGAACCATGTTCCACTTTGGAGTTAGGCTGTAGTATTTAATTATCATACATTTCCCCATCTATTTTTGTTGTGTAATAAGAAGTGTCATTTTCTCCTGATCAAAGACATTGGCAAATGCTGGGATACATCCAGAGCCATGCACATTGTGAACTGGTTCTGTGGTGGCCACTGGGTACTTACAGAGTGAATATGGGGAGATTACCCTGGCAGGTTCTTGCCTCTGCAGCCAAGGGTGGTTAAAGCATCCTCTGTCACAGTTAGATGGCCAACACCAGCATTTCCATCTGGACAACTTGCTTCTTGTTAATAGTGAGTGTATCTATAGAGGCTGAGCTTTTGGTAGAAAGAAGGAAGGTGGATTTTGTGCTAATTATAAAACTGGAACTTGGCAAGATGTCTGGAAGGTAAGTTGTAAGTGGATCTACAAGCCAGCTTGGCCTGTTGTGAAGGTTTTAACGTCATTTGATGATGATATCCTAGATGAAATGCTAATAGGTTTGGAAGCAAATTTAAGTGACCTTCTGCTTTGCTTTGGGAGTAATATCCATACATGCAAATCAAGTAGTTTCCTGAAACTATGTAATTATATACCGACAAGTGTTCTACTCAAATCAGCTTCCATGTTTCATAGTTCCTTGAAGTGCCCAGCCCCATGGTGGTGTGCCTCAGAGGATTATTCATAACTGGTTCTACAACAACAGAATAAATAGTGTTTAAAGCAAATCAATATTTGCTATCTCCAATTTGCTGTTGAACATAGAGGCTCTTAGGGATTGGCTTCCTGCAGGTGATGCAAACAGTAGTGACCTTTGAGGACATTTGGAGGGGGAGAAATGGCGTTAGCAAAGGCCCATGGAATTTCTAGGCTGATGGGGAAGGAAATAGTGCCACACAGGAAAGCAGCAGAACTCCCTTGTGCATTAGCAGCTTAACCTTGAATTTTGCCCAAGTGGTTTTTGAACTAGCTTAGTTTTACTCTTTGAGGAATTAGTTGCCTTTGCCATAAGATTTTATGAAGCAATATATCTTTGTGAATATGGAATACTGACTAGGGTGCAGTTACTGGGGCTGAGCCAAATTCTGCCAAATTTTGCTGTCCTCCAGGACACAGCTGTGGGGCAGAGAACTGTGGGGTTATACAATAGGGTACACCCAATCCTAACAGTACACCTTTTTCCTCTCCACTGGCTTCTTTCCCTCAAATTATTTCAGTTAATGCCTGTCAGTGCCCTACCCATGCACTTTGATACAAACACTGTGCCTCTTACACCCTCCTTACTGGAAGAGTGGGGAAGACCCTGCTTCTGTGAGTGGTCAGAATTTGTATCTATAATTTTTCTCTTATATCAAGGTCTGAGCTGAGCTGAATCAAAAAGGCAGTTCCTGACTTTTTACCTTCCAACATTACATCTTTCAATTCAACCCTCACAGCAGGCATCCTTCTTTCCCAGTATAGGATTTGTTTAGAGGCCAGCCATATGGTGGGTGTAATTATTATTTTATAATAGTGTTATTGCTCTCTAGCTGCCCAGTAAACACAGTGCAGTTTTAGTAAACTATACATATAAGTATAGGAACTTTGGACTTGAATGATTTTCTTCACTTTCATATAATATTAGGTGTGAAGGAGAAAAAAAGATTCCATTTAATTTATAGAAACTGCATAAAGTTTATAGAGTCTCTGCCATCGTCTTAAATGAAAGGATTGTTGGAGGAGGGGCTGTACTGAAACTGGGAGGTCCCCAATGCTGGAGCAGAATAGCAGTTAAAGGCACACACCAGTAAATACCTGTGCTGAACTTTTCCCATTAAATCTGCCATCCAGCATATGGACTGCATTAGGGGGTTGTGTGCCCTAGGGATTTTATAAACACATTTCCTCTCCTTTCCTCTTCCCCTTCCCGTTACTGTTGCTTTAGAATTTTACAGAATCAAATAGTGCCCGTTCTGGGGTCATCACTTCCTGGAAAGATGCTGTTTGCCGTAGAGACAAATTCACCTCAGAAACCTGTCTATGTATGCAAGTGCTTTCTGAATGTGCCTTTTTTTAATGTTTGGTGTGTGAGCTTCCCAAAGCAGTAATACCAGCTTGGCTCACCCATCCTTTGAGGCATATGTGCAACTCCTGATTTGCATCATGGCAGAATTTCTGCAGCAAAATTAGGAGCCAGTGTGTGCTCAGTTTTATGGATGATCTGTAAATAAACACAGCTCTCTTTTGCATCTTTATTTACGCTGAAAGTGAAGGTTGCCAAAGTGACTGGTGAAAAATGTGACAAGAAACCAAGCCTCTGATGAGACCAGAAAACACTGCATTTGCTTCTGTGAACATTTCTGTGTTGCCTTTTTGATTTTGGTTGACATTGGAAATCTGTATATCCAGCCCATTTGATAAGGTCTCCTTTTTCTTTTCTGAAGCCTGGCACTGCTGCCCATCCAAGCATTCCTCAACACTTTGGGCAAGTTTAATGGGTGGCCCTGCTGCCTGCTGCTAGCTCCTCTGCCTGTTCTGTACACCTGTATTTGAACAGAAAGAAGCATATCTGGGAATAATTCTGGCTTAACCTCCACCCACTGTCAAAGGTTAATTTTATCAGCTCGGTTGTCGAAGTTACACCCTGGGTGACACACAGCACTTCTGCTGCTCAGCCCTGGCTGTGGGAGTGAGTGCATGGAAACCCAGTTCTGAAGCTGAGGTGCTGAAGAAAGTGAAGCCCAAGAAATATGACACATCTCTCAGTTTATTGTACTTTGAGATTTGTAGGTGGTAAATGCTGTGGGTGTTTTTTACAGACACTCCGGAGTCCTAATATAATTTACAGTTTCATTTGGAGAGAGCTGTTTCAAATCTTTGCACATTCTTCTAAGATATTTTAAAAGAAAAGCCAACAGCAATAATTAGTTTGGCATTTTCTATGTTTTCTATAGCACTTAAAGGGTAATGACTTTTTGTAACCAATCCTGGAGAAAATCAGGTTTTATGGAATAAGACGACTTAAAAGGCCTGAATGGACATCAGTGACAGATGTACTTCATGCTGAAAAGCTCTATTCCACTGCATCAAAATAAGGAAAACAGTTATACACATGATTAGAGGCTGTGACCCTTTGGTTCGAATGATCAAAAAGAACAATATTAAAATTTGATTTACAGAAGCTACTGCTTGGCCTGTAATCAGTCTGACCAATAAAAGCAACCCAGACTTTTTCAGAATGTGATTTCCCAGTAGATAGGTTAGCTGTTTTTGTAGGGCTGAAAGAAGAAACACAAAATGGTTTTAAAATATATTTGATATGCTCTATGAGTAAATTGAAATACTAGCATATAACTAGTTTTAATGGGTTTTGTTCATAAATTGCCAGATTTCCTTAATTCAAGTGAAACTTGGTAACCACTTGAGAATAATTGTCTTTAAAGTGAAATATTGCTTTGACATTCTACTTCATTTATATTAAATATATGGTTTACTCTTTTATATTAGAAGGTAAATGAAAGCTGGTCAGTAATATGATTCCCCTTACACTCTTGCCATAGTTCACTATGGAAATGGATTCAGGAAATGGCAGATGTGATTAAAAACTCTTCAGCTGTTTGTACAGCACAGTTCTGGCGAAGACAAGCACTCCTAGTCGTATTGCAATATAAATAAAATGATTCTTCAGTCTGGGGACTTGGAATTTTGATTCTAAATCACTGGTTAGGAGACTGGGAAGATGGGATTTCATGAGGCTTTTTCATTCATAAGAATGAAGACAGAATTGCTGTGTTGGTCCTGTTTCCCTGTGCATGCAAATATATTGGAATCCACGCCAGCCCAATTTGCATGAGGGTGTCAGAGCAATAATCCTATAAATTGACACAGAAGGGTCAAGCTCAGAGAGTGACAACACTGGAGAGCTGGCACAGCACATAAATGTTCACCTCGCAGAAGCTGAACACTGAAGATTGCAAAACTAAGAATTTCCTTCCTCCTGCCTTTTAAATGCATCAACAAGTGTACAGCTCATGTCTGGTCAAAGAAATTGAATAAAACACTGAAATTGGACCTTATATCTCCTGATTTAGAAAATATTCATTTTATTCACCAAGTTCTCATGAATTCTAACTCTTTTGTGCGTCAGTTTTTGAAATTTACTATCAGGTTTCCCTCTTCTGGAAAGTTAAGTGCTGTTTTTTGTTTCTGATATTTCCAGTTGAACGCGAAAATGTCCAGAAGAGGACCTTTACCAGATGGATAAACCTGCACTTGGGAAAGGTAAGACTGATAAACAGTCTTGATATTGTGATACAAGGACATAGCCATAGACAGATTGCAGTTAACTCCTCTAAAGTAGTTAAATTTTGGAAACAAAGTTGACATCTGTGCACATTTTGGGGAGAATGAGTGGAAGCTCAAAGCCTGTTTCTGTATTAATTAAACTTCATTTCCAGGCACAATGAAGGCTTGACTGGCTTTTATCATCTCAGATGCATTTAAATCTTTAATGCCATTGCCTGTTACCATGAGGGTAGAATTTTCCCATAGAATGTACCCACTTAAAATCAAATATGGTTGAGGCTCTGAGATGATGTCTGTGTTCTTCCCTGAACTGGAAGTTTGAACATCTAAGGAATCATGGCTAAAGAAAGCTGTTCTTCAGAACCTGTCTTCATCCCAGATCTGAAGATGGAAAACAGTAATTCCTTATCAGTCATGTTATTGGGGGCAATATGATGGGATCTTCACACACCCACTTACATCAGAGAGCTAATGTTTGGACATCATATCTTTAAGTTGTAATTGTTTCTTAATGGCACCATAGTATGGCTCTTAAACCTAAGATACTGTTCTTATTGATAGTAGATAAGTACTACCTCTCCTGAGTAGTTTGTCATGCAGAGAATTTTTTTTTTGATGTTTAGATTGAAAAGAGAAAAAAAAATCCTAATATTACTGAGACAGCAGCAATGCTTACTGCAGGATCAAGGAATGAGACCAGCTTCCTGATCTACTCAGACTGGTGATTGAGCTTCACAATGCTTTAGTATGTGCAGCTAAATTTCAAAAAGTACAGAGTGGAACTATGTTTGGGCTGACTCTGAGTTTAGTAGTTCTTGAAAAGTGATTGCACTCCAGACACAGTAAAGAGTTTTAGAAGAAAGGCATCACATTTATAGTTGCTTAAGTCCACTACTCTGCAGTGAGTGTTTTTGAAGGCATAAAAGGATCCTCCTAAATCTCACTGGAAAATCAGAATAAGGCCAGTTGGAAATGTTTTGACTAGCAATTGCTCCCAAGGGCCTCTCAGAACGAAGACAGTGTTACATGATGCCTTTGTGAATCAGGCTCTTGGGCTTTAAACTAACTGCAGGTTTGGAACTTGTCAGAAAGGGTTGTCAAATATGTGACTGCAAAGAAGGTCTTTGATTTACTGAAGGAAAAAGGCTGAAAGGGTGCTGTTAATTCTGGTGTGCCAGGCATATGAAGTCTTAGAACCTTTGTGGGCAGGTCAGATTTCTCTGGAGTGCATACAAATTTTTTCTCCTCTCTGATTCAACAAATAAAAATGCTTTTCTGGATAAAGGGTGAAAGCCTTTTGCTTTATTCATGTATTTCCTGGAAGTGGCGTAATAAACATAACCATGTAAACAATGACAACTTCACTGGAGCTGTCTCTAATTTCAGGTGATTCTCTGAGGAGACTCACTGAGAAAGAAAGGTGTCTTCTGCCTTTATCCTCAAAGAGACACTTCTTACAGAGTGGCTTCTCTTTTTCAGCAGCAGCAATGAAGTCTTCTTGCACTTCTTCAGGAAACTTTTGGTGTGATCCTACTTGGATCATCTCTTGAGAAGATCTGGCTCTGCTGATCATGGGATAATTTGGAGTACTCTGAATTTCTGAGCTCTGTTTATTCTTGCTTTAAGTACTAAAAGAATAGAAAGTGTTTGGGATTTAATCTTTCAGATAAGTTATTTAATTTTGAAAGGAAAGATACTTTGCTTTCTTTCATGGAGCATTGTTTAGTCTCTTGGCTAGATTAAAGACCAGTGATGAAAATGCGTGGTCCCAGTTTGCCAGGAGCAGTGCTGAATCAAACAGAAGTGCATTGCCCAACCAAAGATGAAAAGATTGGGCTCTTTAGGGACACGTGAGTGAGTGGCACTCACTGAGCAGACAGCAATTGCTGCAACTGGGACTACCCCTAGGGGCTGAGCTTGGCTGTGTGCCTTAAGTGCACACATCTACCAACACCACAGTGAAGTGAGGAGATGGTTCCCTTTGGAGGAGTTGGCTGAGACAAGAGAGACACAATACAAGAAGTTGCTTTTTAAAGTGGTTAGAAAATGCTGGGAGACAGAATGGCACCACCAGAAGCCTTTCACATGAGAAGGGACATTGTGACTGGCTGGATCATGGGCTTATTTCTGCACAAAGTGGTATCTGCTTCTGCTGGACATGTCTTAGTCTGAGGGATCAGCACCCAAGCTCTGGGTGGTTATTTCTCAGGCAGAGTATTTAGGGTTAGAGTCTGTTATGGGAAATCCTGAATCAGTCCTTGTCTGATTTCAGTTTTAGCTCCAACATTCATAGGTCAGAATTGCCATCAATGTGAAGAACAATCAGCTGTCTCTTACAGCAGGCTACGATTTACTTCTTGTATCTCTCTTTTGTAAAATTCTCCTTCCATCTCTCTGAAATCATGATGATTTATCAAAAAGCAGTGTTTTAAAAACTACCTGGTTTCTTTTCTTCGCAGTGCAAGCCTCCTTTGAAAGTGAAAGACTTGTTTATTGATATACAAGATGGCAAAATCTTGATGGCACTCCTGGAAGTCCTGTCAGGACAAAAGCTGGTATGTACAGAGAGGGAGAAGCCTCCATACCTAGGAGCTGGGTATGTTACAAGCAACAGTGCCTGGATATCCAAGGAATAAGGGTGAATTTGGGCCCATGTCTTGCATAATGTAGTAAGAATTTCAGCAACTTTGTTGTAATTTCCTTATGTTACAGGTGGGTGCCCTGAGCTACAAGGTAGATTTCAAGGAAATATGACAATGAGGTGTAAATGGTGTGTGATCAGTGTTAATGTTCCTAGCCCTGAGGGTTTTTAAGTCTTTAATACTTTAATGCTCACACATTCCATTTCGAGATTACCCAAGTTACATTACCAAGAAAACACATATTTGCTATATCAGTTTTTTAATCCTTACATTCTGTTTTCTATTTTGTCTAAGATCATTATGACACTCAGTAGCTTTTCTGATGCCTGCTGTAGGTCTGAGTTTCATTCATTGATTAGATGAATCAATGAATTAAATTCATTGATTTAGACCGTATTAGTAAGACTAATGAAACCTGAGTTTCATTCTGGTATCCTGACTCAGGTTTCATTAGTCTTACTAATACAGTCTAAATCAACAGGGCAAAGCTTTACTAATCAGAAACTTCTTCTCTCCTCCTTTCTTTGTAAGAGCTGTGTAAAGTTCCACATACCAGAAATGGAACACCCAATGCAAATATAAATGCCCAGTTGACTTTAATATTTTCTTTCTCCATCAATCTTGTCATCAGAGCTCTCCTGTGTGTGGCTACCACACTTGGGTAAGAGGAGCAGCTATCTCACCACTGCAGATGCACCTGGTGATGCTCTGTAGTGACTGCCCACCTGCACAGCCTGCAGCAGGAATGCCCCTGAATGTGTGCTCACACATTCAGAGTCAAGGATATTTTAAAATATTCTTGAAGGTTGGCAGAGCTGCAGCAGAAGTAGCAATGTCTCTATGTGCATTCTTACAGGCTTGAAATGAATTGAAGGGGTAGATACATCATGGTAAACCCCAGGCTATGCTTCCACAGGTCAGGGAGGAGGTGAGAGAAGGGGGTAAAGTCAGCTGGCTGCATTTCTTGTTAGCTGTTTCTGCACATATGGGATAAAAACACTGTGCCAAAGTGGAATTGCAGGGAGACAGGCATGCAAAATCTTTCATTTCTCCCAAAGTGAAGGTTTTTGCCTCCCACCTGCCTGTGCCTGCTATTAAAACTGCTCATGCTTCCTAATTAGGATAATTAAATTTAATTCAAGACAAAAGAAAATCTTTTATTATGAATTTTCAGGCAAACCTGATCGTGCGACTGAACATGGCTGGGGAGTGATTACATAAATAATCAGTGTGGCAGGTCCAAGAGAGTGGTAACATCTGGGGAGCAGGAAAGCTGGTTGCTCACCCTGTTTTGCTATACTTGTGTAGTTGAAGCATTCTACTGCTCACAAAAATGGCAATAATTTTTCATAGATAAATTTCCTTAGCTTTATTTTGCCTCAGTGCTTTTAAGCTTTGTATGATGTGGTGAATTATTCCACCAGTTTTAAAAACAGTGTAGCAATTCTTTTTTCTAGATGCACGAATACAAATCTTCAACCCATCGCATTTTTCGTTTGAACAACATAGCCAAAGCACTTAAGTTCTTGGAGGACAGTAACGTGAGTATTTTCAAAGACTGGTCTTAATATTTTCTCTTGATGTGTGCTGCAAGTTGTAATTGTTGCTAAACTGACGTGCTGCATATATACAAGAGAAGTGTACTGCTCAGGAGGCTGTGACTTACCTTAGCAGCAAGGCTGAAAAGCCACATAAAAATGCACAACAAGAACACCTACAGAGTCTAAAGCAAGGATTATTTGCTCATTTTATATGTTAAAGTTCAACGGGATTAAAGGATCAGGAACCCAATATTAAAAGAAAATAAAAAGAAATGCAAGTAAGTTTTATGATCTGGGTCTTAGTGGCATTACTTCAGTTACACTGATGGTAGATGACTTTCTTTTCTCAGAAGTACTTTCAGTTATAGAAATCATGTATTTTTCTGGTAAACTGATTGCTGCAGCAGCTGATCATGAAAAAAAAGCAAAAGAGAAAATAAAATAAAATAAAAGCAAGAGAAAGTGAAACTGGGAACATGATATAAATGCATAATTCCAGGAATCAATGCCTTACAGGGATATAATTTCTCTCATAGTGAGTGTTGTACTACCACACAGCATCACTTCCTGCAGTTATAAGTGACCAAGTGTGATCAGACCCTGTAGCAGGAAATGATTCACTCCTTCTATTTCTCCTGTGATGGGTTTATTCCAAAGCGCTGTGGAAGTGGCCAGTGTGTTGGTGAGAGCAATGGGGTCAAGAGAAGCCCCAGCCATGTAACAATTCATGGTATCCTTAGATCCTCCAGAAAGAGTAAACAGATATTGAGCTATTTCCTATAAAGGATTCAAGTAAGGTTAAACTTTATGGCTGAGCAGGGATCAGTGTGTGCAAAACCCTGCTTTGTATAGGATGCTCCAACAGCAACTGGTGTCACTGTGCTGCTTCCCTGCACTGAGCTTAGCTCCTGCTCCAGCAGCAGTGCTTGTCTTGCAGGAGAGCTGCTACAAACCCCAGTGCAGGAATGAGCATGGTGTGAGGTCTCAGCACATCTCTTGTGACTTTGTAGGTGTGGGAGGTTTAACATCCTTTGCCTTTTTCCCCAGGAGAGGATGTGAAAGGTCAAGAAGTTGTCCAGTAACTTCCAGGTGTTCCAGGCTCCCTATGGAAACTCCATCAGTAGGGGCTGATCTGGCCCTAAATGTGTACGTCTACACATCCTGCTGTAGAACTGCTAAGAAATATTTTACATATTCCCATATTTCTTAACAGTTTCCCAGTTGATGCTTTTTACCCAAATCCAGCTAAGGCCCACTGGCAGATGAGATTATTTCTCTCTGTTGGTACCAGCACTTGGCAGAGCTGCAGCTGAAGCACATCTGGTTGCCAGGACCTCACTAGGTCCTCAATCAGCAAGGCCAGGGAGGAGGAACCTTAAATTCAGGTGGCTTTTTAATTAGTAGTGCTAAAAACTACTTTCCTCTGGATTTCCTGTTCCCTTAAAAGTAAGCAGTCAATATCTTCTAGCAGAGTATCTCTTCTGGGCTGGGTGACAAACATAAGCAGCAGTAAGAGGACAGAGCTCACACTAAGCAGTGAAATGATAAATGTGAGTTGCTCCCCATTTTGGAGAAATTGTTATTCAAATGTGCTAAGTCCTAAAGGTTTCCCCATGCCAAATACCTTGGAGATAGCAAGAAATCTGATCCCTGAAATATGACAAGTAGAGGTGTCTTCTTGCTAAGACTGAAAACGTTGTGCAAACCACTAGATAAAAAGTTATTTTGCTTTCCTTTTTTCAGCTTAACCAAACCGGTTGGTGAAGGGTGGTGATGAAAGTGTTGGCAAAATGCCTTGGCTGCCAGGAGCTTCAGGGTTAGACATTAAAGCCCAGTGGGTGGAACCCGGCAGTGTCTGTGGAGCTGGGGCAGCAGGGTAGAGCCCTGCTGAGTGATTCACCGTGTCCGGGACTCTCAGAGATAAATGGGCTGCTGGGTGCCATGTGCAGCACTGACGGCTTCCTTGTCTCCTCCCTCCTCCGTGACCTTTGCCAAAACCAAATCTCTGTTGTCTGAGAGAATAACATCCTGGTGTTATCAGCTGGAAAAAACCTCAGTGTGGGAAAGTCTGGAGTTTGCTTGGATTAGGCAACCCTATCCGTTGCTAACTGATTTAATCAGAACTCTGTGACTAGCTGTGTAAGGTGGGATAAGGAAGGAGAAAGCAGATGCATACAAAAAAAGTAAGCAGATCTTACCAGGATTTTAGATTTTTGTATGAGAAATTACTTTCCTTTTATGAGTGGGGCCCCATCTTCCTCCATTTTTGTATGGAGGAAATGCATTTGTTGTCCCAAAAATGCAGAACTGAATTCACTTCTGTTCTGCAGACTAGGAGAAGGGTGATTGTGATCAGGGCAAATTTTCATTAATACAAGATTGCAGCATTGCTTTTTTGCTGGCCTGTCAGCGGCAGCAGTGGTAGGGACATATCCAGTAGTCTCAGTGCATTTTTTGCATATACCTTCCTGCTTTGAATTTGGCTCTGAATTTATGATCTCTCCTACAGGTAAAGCTTGTTAGCATCGATGCAGCAGAAATAGCAGATGGAAATTCCTCTCTGGTACTTGGACTAATATGGAATATAATCTTGTTTTTTCAGGTAATAAAATTTGAATACTTTAACCATAAGTAATCAGTCTTCATGGTATCCATCTATTCCAGCTGAATACTGATTTTTAAATTGGTTTTTAATCCTAAAGAACATAATTAATCATGCTAAACCTGAGCTTTTCCCCTCCTAACATACACTAATTTTATACTTGCAGCTGCTTTCATTTTACTTCATTGGACCTATTTTGATGTAAATTGGAGACAATTTAAACCCTCATTTAACTTGGACCTGAATTAGAGCTTCAGATTACTACTTTCCCTTCTTTCCTGTGCCTTCTCAGGGTTCTGTTCCAGATTCCCTGGAACTGAACCAATGTCCTGGGTATGGTTCCAGGTCACAGTTTATTTTCAATAACCTTTACTGGATTTGGTCCAATGTGGTGGGAAATTCCATTTAGAATCACTGTTCTCTGGAGACTTACTCAACACAGCAAAAATTCCAAACTGATATACATGGTCATATGAAAGATCTCAAAGGACCTGGAACTGATAACATGTATTTGAGCCTGAAAATTGATGTATCCCCAGGCTGAGATTAAAACTGCTCCCTAACCTACCCATAGTTTGGAAATTACCTTCTAGACAATCCCAAATTCTAATGGACAGAGAGACATGGAGGGAGGGTTCTGCAACTCTCATGAGACTGTGAGGCCCTTTCATTCTCTTGGTCTGATTTAAAAAATGGCTATAAGGTTAAAAACATGATCTCAAAGTTGCACTGGGGCCTCTCTCCCTGGCTGAGCTCCTGAGGGTGAGCAGTGCTGCACAGAAGAGTTTGGCCAGGCAGACTCACAGGCAGAGATGGTGTGACCAGAACCTCCCACCCTGGCAGCACAGGGCACAGGGGTGGGGGGACCCAAAAGCAGCAGAGTCTCAAATGTCAGTGCTGGTCAAGGACAGGAGGGCTGCTGCAGGTCACCATTTCTCGATGAAAAATACTTCACTCAAGCAATTCCTGTGAAGAGAACAATTCATTTAAACTAACTTTTCTTTCAAGGACATGTTTCTTTGCATTTTGTTTAATTTGCACAGTTTGGCCTGAGCTGGGAGCTTGCTCTTTCTGTTGCCTGGGCTGCTGCTGGCTGTCATGCTTGTAAATACAAGTTGAGAGTTAAAATGAACAGGTTTATAATTATCACTTAAAATTCAGCTATGGCTGAATTTTATGGCTTTAAAGGTTGCATGAAAACAAGGGCACGATGCAGCCAATGATAAAGCAGAACACTGTGTATTTCACCTTTTATTACAGATTAAGGAGCTTACAGGCAACCTCAACAGGAACTCTTCCTCCTCCAGCCTGTCCTCTGGGCCCAGTGGTCCAGAATCAGACACATCCCCCAGCACTCCCAGCGTGGAGAGAAACATGTCCATTACAGTGAAGGACCAGCGGAGAGCCATCAGGGCCCTTCTAATCTGGGTGCAGAGGAAAACCAGAAAGTAAGCTAACAAACCCTGAACAAAACAGTGTCTTGCCACCTGCCCCTCTGAAGCTGAGTCTCTTTTCTCTGTCCTGCCCCATGGGTGTGTTGCCATGTGTTGTGGCTTCTGCTTTTGAATTTGGGGAGCACAGTGTCTCTGAGGGGGGTGTTTCACTATGACCATGTGTTCACAGCAGCCATCTGACCTTGAAGGCCGCTGCTGGCTCCACAGTTTGAGTGTTAAATGTTAACTTGCACTAACCTGCTTGGTGCTGTTTAAAACAGTATCATTCTCTACTCCCCAAACCCCAGCTTTCATGCAGTCTCTTTGACATCTCTTGCTGATTAAAGGTTAGGTATAAGCAGGGAGAGAACTCAAAAAATAAATGTACTGAAAGACTTTATCATCAGCCTTTTAAATTTAGCAGTAGCCCAGAGGAAGCTTCTCTGGGTATTGCAGAGTGCCTTGAAGGACAGAGCCCCTACCAGAGTCCCTCCTTCCCCAGTATTAAAGAGGGGAAGGGGGTGAAACTTAAGTCACTTCTGAACTTGTAACATTTGAGTGGATTTCCAGTGCACAAGACATCCCTCTCCCCTTTAATAAAAAATGGTTCTTTCACCAAAGCATTTTGTGTAGAAATGCTTTGTCTTGGCAGAGTTACTAACAGGTTAAAAAACTGTAGTGTAAGATGTCTCATGCACATGCAAATGCTTGGAGTGTATTTTACATGTATTGTTATTTGAACTAGTGACTGGCAGAGAGTTTTTATTAAAGAGGGCATGTGTCAAAGTTACCTATACAAATTGGTTAGCTGAATATTTGGCGGTTTTGTCTCTGGATTTTTATCTTGCCTTTGAACACAAATTTTCTAGTGTTGAAGACAAAAATTTGCATCTTAAATACTTGGTCCTGTGGACTGCATCATCCCTTGGTTATCTCCAGTGAAGCTAAGGTGCTTGCTGAGCAGATAAACTTGCCCCCTGTAGTTCACTGCTCCCAGTGCAGACCATACAGAAATGTAGTTATGATGTAGTTATTAATGGGTGGAACAAAGAAAGTGAAGACCTGAGAAGTAAAGACTCAGACTTTTCAGCCCAGTCAAAGAGTGCGAATTGAAAAGATCTAATAAGAGAAAATTATTCTTGCAACTGCAGTATTTAAAACATAATAACATCGTTGTAATCCTGTTATCTCATGATCTGTGCAGAATTTTCTATTTTGGGGCTGTATTCCATTGCAATTTTGATGGCTGCTTTTCCTCCAAAACTTTGGGCATCTAACACTCTTGTGGTTTATGCATATGCTGACACCATTTGCATTTGGCAGATTTTCTGCAATAGAAGGCCAAGTACACAGGAATGTGAATCATTTATGCTTATGTGTTTAAATATTTAAATCTTGGAACTTTTCCCAAGCTATGGCATTAAAATGCTGGAGAGCAACAAAAACAGGAATCACAGAGACATTTGGTTTTGTGAATGTTAAATGTGGTTGCTGAATTCTTAAGGGCTTTGTTTTCACTAACTACTTCCTACAAGCAGGTTGGTGTCAGCTGTTAGCCACACCAATTCAGTTTGTGAACCCATGTGTTTTCTGAATGTATCTCAAATATGACAAGTGCTACTCAGCAACCTTACGTTTTAACTTTCAGGAGTCTGAAAATGACGATGCCTTTATTTTGGATTTTGTAACAAACCACCCATGTAAAATGGATGTAATTCTGTTTAGGTATGGCGTTGCAGTCCAGGACTTCACGAGTAGTTGGAGGAGTGGCCTTGCTTTCTTAGCTGTCATAAAAGCCATAGATTGTACTTTGGTAGACATGAAGCATGCACTGGAGAAATCAGCACGAGAAAACCTGGAGGATGCTTTCAGCATAGCACAGAATAAACTGGGTGTCCCTCGGCTCCTCGAACCTGAAGGTAAATACGTCAGCTTTTTTGGGTAACACTCAGTCTACACTGAATTAATGAATATTGCCTTGCGATACATGCCAAAAACCCAACAGTGATTAGGCTGCTGATGGGATCAGTGTGCTGAGCTTTTTGAGAAGAAAAATAGAAATGGTCAGTGGCTTGTAATTGTATGCTTCCAGTCATATTTGTAATTGTATGCTTCCAGTCATTTGTAAGCTCCTTGAGGTCAAAGATTGTACTGTGGTTTTAGCTATGTACACTATGCCTATGTTTAGCTATGTTTATAGCTGGTCCTGGTTCCTGCTTAGATGCTTTGTGACGTCTGCACTCATAGAGGGCATCAATTGTTGTGCTGAGGGGTGTCTCAGTGCATTAGCAGTGTTCTGTAACACCGAGGCTGCAGACTAAATGTCGCTCCAGGATGAGCGATACGAGGCTCCCATACCAGGTAAATGAAGAGATACCCATTCAAATGCATCTGCATCTCCCAGTTTTCCCTTTGCCATGCATATGTACACACAAGTATTTATACCTGTAAAGCTAAGTGTGCATGTGTATATAAAATACGTATAAATGGATTTCTTGTCATTCTTTTTACTGAACTCTGTGAGACCGACACTAGGCCTTGGTGTCATGATTGAAAGCACAATTGCACTTTCATTACCTGGTAGAAGACTGGGCCATCCTGCTAAAAATAAGCCTCTATATTGTCACTCAACAGCAGCCAACTGTCTACTGACAACAGCATGAATGGCAGTATAAAAGTGAATTAAAAGGGAGCCCTGATCGCGGTTCAGTATGTGTTTGGAAATAGGAAAAAGTGAATGTGAATGGGATGTTGAGAACTCTGTCAAGTGCCATCAGCAGTGAAGAGCATCTCTCTTATCTGTCAGAAAAAAAAAAGTGTTTGTAGCTGTTATTTCTGTGCCCATAATGGCAGGATAAATGTCTGACAATCTGTTCCTCTGCAAGAGCGTTTCAGAGCTGTGTGTGCTCAAGCCCCTCGCGTCTGTCTCCACAGATATCATGGTGGAGTCCCCCGATGAACAGTCAATTGTGACATATGTGGCACAATTCCTGGAGCACTTCCCGGAGCTGGAAGGGGTATGTGTTTACTGCTGTGTCATGTCATTTCTTTAATTTGCCTTGGTGTACGTAATAAAGTCAGATTTATTTTCTACGTTTCTTTTTAGCTATTTAAAATAAACAACAAACCTGGGTTTAATTTTTCACATTTTTGTTAAATCCAGTGAAATGGGCTTTCATTGGTGATTACTAAAATGCTTTAGGTAGAATTGTGCTTTTATACATTTATATCCAATTGTAACTTTCAGAGGTTAGAATTGGTTTCATAGGAATCTACTACTTTGCTATATTGGTTTTAAATAAGACTAAAATTTATTCCTTTATCTATAATGATTCATTGGACTTTGAATTTAATTTTTACTTCTATCCTCTCAAGTTTGAGGGCCATGATCAGTCTGAATTTAACAGGTATGAGACACAAGACCCCAAAAGCTGAATCTTATCAATACAACAGTAAAATGCACTCATTATAAGCATGACACAAACTGCAGTTTAAATGACCAGGACTTTGATGCAAAAATAAAGAATTGAGGGTTAACTAAGGGTTGACAGTGTCAAGAACTGGCAAAGGCTTTTTGAAAAAACAGGCATTTTCTCTCATTTCTTGACTGAATGTTACAGTTGGCATATATTTTGTAGTTGATAAAATTGGTGGGCATTACTAAAGTAATTGGAATTAAAATTATTATAGTAATCTAATTATTATTAGATTAGATGAGTAATAAGATTGGTTGACATTAAAACTTGTTGACATTTTTATGAACAAAGTTAAAAACTACCTTTCTTTTAATAGAGTCTGTTGGAAGGAAATAATCTGGTATATCAATGTATTTCACAGTGGATTTATTGGAGTTTTTGGATTTATGTTATTCCCAGGGTTTGGGATTGTGTCAAAAAGCCAAGTCAGTTGTCTCCACAGCAAGGAGAGATAAATACATTAACAATTGAGGAATAGGCTTGTCTGCATTCTGATCTTCCTGTACAACTGCCTTCTTGACATTGAGCTCTGTTCAAGGCACTTGACTTGCCAAATTAGTTTTCCTACTTTCAAAATAAGTGAGTTATTAATTGGCAATTCAGAAGGTAATGGACTGAAAGACTAGGTATTTATTCTTTCCATTGTGTTTGGGAAATGTAAAACGGTATCTGAGCTAGGATTTGTCTTCTAATGGTGTATCATCACTTACAGGAAGACTTTACAGATCCTGACAGGGAGCTTCCAATTGAGTCCACATATGTCCACATCAAAGACACACCGTCAGAGAAGGAAGGCAAAATCTTGATTTTAGGTGAAAATGAAGAAAACATGTATACTGTTAATCATGAGAGGAGTCATCCGGCTCCTCCAAAGGTCCATATTCATGATATCCCTGAGAGAATCCCATCAGAAACCATTTCTGAAAATTGTAATGGGAAACTGAGTCAAGTGTTAGGCGATTTACAGGAAGCATCTGGAGAGGAGCCTCAAAGGCCTACCTCACTGAAAATTGCAGGACCTGTCAGTTTTGAATCCAATTCCTCTTGGGAGGTTCCAAATGATAAATTCACATCAGGTGAAGAGAGCATCTCTGATGATCCACTGAAACAAAATGATGAGCTTTCTCCAGCTGTTCTGACAGATCAGAAAAATTCTGTTGACTCTTTTGAAGAATACTCTGAAGAATTAACTAAGGAAACCCCTACTGAATATGACCATGAAACCAAGAGCCTTTCAGCCAATACTTCTTCTTTGAGTCCATTATCCTGGACTTCTGGTATACTTACAGATGATTCTATTAATAAAGTTGAAGACAGCAAACCCCAGTCTTCAATTATTTTACCAGAAGATTCATCAAAACAAGAAGATACACAGAAGTACATTCTCCACCTTCTAAATAAGGAACTAGAGACACTTCCACAAGATGAACATCCAAAGGAATCACCTGGCCTTGAGACAATAGAAACAAACACTTGTTCACTGAATGATTCTAATCTCAAAAGCCAAGAACTATCTACACAGCAGGAAACATCTGATGACTCTCTCTCAGATATACCTAAAACTCCAGAGGACCTGGACAGCTGTGACGAAGTTGAAGTGGTATCCAGTTCTTCAAAAGTATCTGTGATACCCCATGATCTCTTTTATTATCCACATTATAATGTTCCCATATCAGCAGTTCTGAACGCTTACCTCGAGCCTTGTATGGAAGGTTATGATACAGGAAATGAAAAAGCTTCTTCTGAAACAGTGACAGATGTTTTACATGACGAGAACTTACCAGAACAGGACCACAAGGAAGATGCTCCAGAGCTAGACTTGGAGAATAAGCTACGTACCCCTCCATCAGAAACAGACACTGAGAACAGCGAGGAGGAAACTACAAAAACAAGCAGTCATGCGAATTCTTCGGATGAAAAAGAAGTGCCATTACTGGTAGATGAGTTAGAAATAGAAGAAGATGCCAATAAGGCCACCGACCATGAAGATTCCACTATTCCACAACATCCTGAGGTATTTTAATTTATTACCAGCATTTCTTTGTGTATATATATGGACTTAGCAGATCCCAGTGGTTTTTATTTGCTTCATTTTGCAATGTCTGGGGGAAATACTCAAAATGTACCTAGTTTCCTGTTCCATTACACTGTTTGCCACAGCCCCCTACTGGAATGAATGGAATTGCAGATCCCTGAGAAGATCTGACTGTAAAAGAGAAAATAAGTTCTAATACTAATGGTACTGCAAAAATGTGAATTTATATTATGTTTTAAAATAATTTGAGGCTTCTGTAATCCCTATGCATAAAAGATTACCTTAAAGTACAGAAAAATGTGCCTTTTTATTATGTTTTAAAATAGAGGTTTCTGTAAAATCCTTAGGCATAACAGATTACCAGACAGCGTATTTCTAATAATCTGCTATGAGATTAACAGAAATTAGTATAGCTTCTAAAGAAAGGATACAGGCAATGATAATTTTATCTCAATCCAAGTAAGTTTGCCTACAAAAACTTAGAAAAACAATTTGAGTAGGCTATATTACATGGATGAAATGAAAGCTTCTCTGCACTGGAGGAGGAGAAAGAAATGGGTACTTTGGGGGTACTTGGTTTAGGCAGTTTGCTCCTGCATCTCTTGCAGACACCAGTTTGAAGTGCCTTACATGTTTTCCAGCACAGTAATTTTTGACAGCATTTTTCAGGAATGAATGTCCATTTAATGCTGCTGTACATGTTGCTTAGACATGTTGCTTGAACATGTTTTTGTCCTGACTCTAACTAAAGTAATGAAGTCAGTTTGCTGTTAACTTGAAGAACTAATTGGGGGTAGATTTTAAAAGGTCCAGTGGATTGCTTCAAAGAGCCATGTCATGACTTCTTAATAGAAAGATCTGACTTTCCAACTGTGTGTATGTATGCTGAACTGATGATTCCATGTATCACTAAAGATTTTCAAGAAATTAATTTGTTTTTTATTTTCTTCACTGAGACTTTCAGTCTCATACTATCTGCAATTGAGTGTCTAAGTAGGCTGCACCATTAAGATATTTAGAAGGGTGGGGAATCAGTCATGTTGTCTAAAGCAAAACATTTCCTAATTTCAACAGGCCATAGTAGAACATCTAAAAGATTTACCAATAGCCATAAAGACACCAGAAGAAAATAGTAATACAGACGAGGAAGAGAAAAATATGATTGAAGAAGATTTGCAGATCTCAGATGTTGCCACTACTACTCTATCACAAGATGACCAGGAAGAAAATGCTGAATTCCAAGAATTTACCAGGTATTTCACATTAACTTTGTCTCAAATACACTTAACTGGTCTTTTGAAATTGCCCTGTCCATTGGATGTTTGTTGTAGTCTTGTTTTAGGAAGAAGTATTGGGATTCATTGGCTTTTTCCTGTGTTTCTTTTAAATATGTTGAGTGATTCAGTGGGACTTGATTTGACTGTGCTACAAACTTTGCCACACAAAACCCATGTGGAAGCCCAATGCATTTTGAACATGGAAGTGTTATAATTGCTTTCCTAACAGAGAGAGTATTTTGTAATGCAGATGAAATAGTCCATGTGCATTGTGATACTATGTGGAAGCGTGACAGTGACTGATTTCAGTAGATACTTTTTGGATGTTTTTTTCTGGTTATGAACAAGTCAATGAGGTGTTGGAGAGAAAATAAGACAAAGAACTCATGGGTCAAGGTAAAGGCATTTTAATGAAAAGGCAAAGGCCATGTGTGGAAGAAAATTAGAAGAAGACTAAAAAAAATTTTATTTCTTGTCTACTTCCCATCAGCATGGCAGTGTCCAGGCACTTCCTGGGAAGCAGGGTGTAGTGGTTGCTTCAGAAGACAGATATAAGAACAAGTGTGTGTGTGAGTCTCACTGCCGTTTGGTCAGTTTGGGTCAGCTCTCCTGGTTGGGTCCTCTCCAAGCCTCTTGTCCAGCCTCAGTCCACTGCTCTGGGGAAATTTAACTGCAGCCCAGGCAGACCCAGTACAGAGACACTCAGCTAATTTTGCTTCATTTACTTCTGGTTTTTCTTATATTCTGATTTATTCTTAGGTAATCTGTTTTATGGGACACGAACTGTAATTTGTTGATGCTTATCACTGGAGCACTCTAATTTGAGAGTTTGCTTAGAAAAATCCCTTGTCCCCTTCAAGCTTACTGTTCCCTGTCAGTCCAGTTTTTTATATCAATGGCCATAAAACTTGGGTATACTCTCAGTTAAATGTCAGTGATGTCAAAGGTGCAAAAATGCTCTCAGATACAATATTTTAGAAAAGATTCCTTTTTGAGAGTATGAATTTTTTATTGCGAGTCAGATTTTCCCAAAGCCATTTTAATAATGTTGCTGATAAATTCCAGTCCATATTCTAATACATGCAGCAATGCATATTTGTGGTTTTGTGTAGCTTAAACCTGTCACATCCATTTGCAGTGTCTCTTTTAAACTTAACTTTATGAATTTAAAAACTTCGCTTTTACATACAGAAGCAGTGATAGTGATGCCAACTTTCATCTCCGAAAAAGGTTTTCTCGTAATGCTTCTGAGGAGGTAAGTGTGGACATCTATTTATTGCTGTTTCTCTGGTTCTCTCAAACTCCAGAAGTTCACACACTGTAAAAAGGCCTCTAACAGTATCAAAGTCTTGTGACTTCTAATACTTTTAGTGCTAAAACCAGGCATAGTTGCATAGTTTCAGAACTCTCCTAAAAACACACTAAACTTTAAGCAAATTCACAAAGGAGTAATGCTACAGTTAAATCTGTTGTAAATTTAAATCTTACTTCAAATATATACCTGTATAGCTGCAACATTTTGCCTGTTTGAAGCTGCTTTTGTTTGCTGCTTCAGTTGCTTTTAGTTTTTGCATTCTCTGTGTAATATTGATGCCCTGGTCTCAACACTGCAAAAATACTGGGTGTCTCCTGAAGAGCAGCTTCTGAAAAACTGGGCTCTGTCCCTTTTCCTCACAGTAGAAGTGTATTATATTATCAGTAGCAGCAACTAACACTAAAAGAATTTTAGTTGTAATGTGAAACTGCATCCCTAATGACAGATGTGATTCACACTGGCTTCTTGAGAGCACACAATACAGCTGAGGTCTGGATATTTATTTTTAAAGCTAAAAGGAAGGGACAGTATCAGCAATCTGGGCATGCTGAGCAAGGACAGGAATATGGCCTTTTTTCAACACAAAAATAAAATTCTGACCATCTTGGAGTTTTTAAAAAAATGCTGCCGCAAGTGTTCAGTGAAAGGGAGGTTTCACACAGATGCTTTAGTTTTGCAGTACTGTCAGAGCTACTAGAAATACATATGAACAAGGGGAATTTTATTCAACTAATGAAAGCAGTTGAAAGCAAAAAAATCTTATTTCACAACTTTTTTCCTTTTCTGTGTGTGCACCAGACTGCAGTGCTGGATCTGCTGATGGAAAACATGTTCATAAGCACACTTTCATTTTATTTGAGGAAACATTAGATACAATTTGTATAAAATACATAGTTACCACCTTTGTGAGATGCTGAGTTTGGTTGTCTGATGTGTTTGTGGTTTGTTTAAGGAAACCTATGGTGTAAATGAGCAGAAGATGACAGATATGGATGAAAATCCATTAATCATTGGGTGAGTGTTTCTGATTCGGACTGACTTTTGCAAGGAAGCCATAACTCCTAGGTACTACTAGCAGTGATACAAAGGGAGCTGGAAATTAATTACAGTGGTAGCAACTGTCTTCTGTAATGGCTCAGAGTCCACATTTTGCATAGGTGTAAGATACAAAGTTTCCTTATTGCTCAATCTGTCCCTTGACTGAAACGCCTTTGATTGACTTTAAAGATTCAGCTGTCTCAGCAAAATTCTGAGCATTTTCCCCATGTGGTGGATATATCAGGCTGAGAGAAGAATGGGACAACTTCAAATATTAGCCCCTCTGGCAGTGATGACTCTTTCCAGGTTTGGAAGACTGTCAAAACAATGTTTAGTGAGATCAGTGCCAGGGAAAGTCAATTTCTTCAGTGGAGGACTGGCCTCTGTTGGAGCATCTGTAGTTTTGGTAATCTGTATGTGTGTTTAGTTTAGACTTAGGATGATTGGTCATGAACACATGCATCCCTTTGGTATTAGGGTCTAAATATCTTTAAGAAACAAGGATCACTTTAGGTTTTGTCTCTTAGCTGATACTGAATAGTACCTCCCACAACTTCTAGGTAAAATGGCTGTTATATTTAGATGCAGAAAACACACAAAATATTATCAGGATCCATTGGCCTCTCTCTCTCTCTGATAAAAAAAAATTACACAAATAGCTGTTACAGTTGTATCAGTTGAACAATTTGCTGATATTTTGTGTAATGCTCAGGTATATATCCAGTAGGAGGCCCCAAGCAGAAAAACACCATTTTTCTCCAAAAGTAGATTAAAAACAGTTTATTGGAGTGTTTTTCTTGCAGTACTAGAAAATTATAAAATGACTGTGCCTTTTTAAAAAAGACCTTTCCTTGTCTTTGTGAGAGCTCAGTGGTGCTGGCAAAATCCATCAGCCTTTGCCCTTATGAACCACAGCTGGAATATTTTGAAGTTGAAATTTTGGAGTTGTTCTGCAAACCCTCAACTGCTAGCTGGTTTCTTGGTTGGAAGCCTTGGGCTTTATCTGTTTAATGTTCTAGTGCCTAGCATGAGGGGCTCTGAAAGTAGGTGATTTGGGGAAAGTATATCAAGTCATATCCAGTGTATAAGCAAAACTGAGGAAGATGTCACAAAAGTGTGAGATGTGTTGCCCAGTGCTATGTTTACTGTTCTGGAAATAAAAGGGCATCTTCTTGACTGGTGGAAATCTCCTTGCATCAGAGGGCTGTGCTGTAATGGCACTTACTTAAACTACCTGAGAATTTGTCTGAATTTTCAGAAGATTGATTCTTACATTGTTGACTCTGGAAGGAACACACTGCTAAAGCCCAGCATGCCCCTCCTAGTCTAGCTGGGGCCCTCCAGGTGACTAGACTGAAAAGGTTCATTAAACTGCTGTCCTTTAGACCACCCCCTGATCCTCACAGTAATTATTAACTGAAGGTTTCTTCTTCCTTTCCTTGCCTCTTACTGAATTCTCTCCTATTTTCAGGGAGAAAAAGGACTTGGAAGCAAGCGAGACTTCAACACCAACTCATGAGATAACAATTTTTGAGCAGCCAGAGATATTCTACTTTGTAATTTTCTTTTGGGTGCTGGTCTACTGCCTTTTACTCCTTCCACAGCTGCTTAGCAACAAAGTTTGATCTGTGTGAGGTGTGGAAAATAAAGGGATGGTGGCTGGATTGCTTTGTGTATCGGCATATGAATATGTTCCTTCAGGTGAAGCACAAACAGAAATCCAGAACCTGGTATTTGTGTTTATTATCAGGTTGTTCTCAATTCCGCTGTTGTGCTATGACAGTGTCAAAGCACGTTTTATATTATGGTAATTGTGTAAATATATATAAAAATGATCTGATTTAGTAGATGCGATTTTGTACATTTGTGCCTTGCTTTATAAGATGCTAAATAAAACCAGATAATTATCAGTAGAAGTATGAACAATTCAGAGCTCTAGTCTTCAAAAATTATTCTTCTGGCTTCACTTTCTTATGTAGGGCCTGACAGCTATGGAAGAGGGATGGTGTTGACTTACCTTGGGGTCTGACCACCTGCAAGGGCAAGGCTAGAAATGCTTCTTCACATTTTCCATTTCAAAGAGTGGGGGGCAGAGCAGAGCTATAGGCAGTGAAACACACATCAGGAACTGATTACAGTTCCAGCAGCAAATCCAGTGGAGCAACAAAATCAGGTTAAGGGTTTATTGGGAAGTTTGATTTTTTTAAGGATTTAAAGTAATTTTTATCCTGCACCTTTTTGTATGTTTGATTTGCAGGAAAAAATTGGGTATGAAGAAGTGTGAAGAACATACATGCTAGCTGCTTCTTAGTAGACTTTATATGGGAAATCTAAGGCCAGAAACTAAAGTTTTTTAAAAGTACCTCGGTGCTTCTGAGTCTGCTTTTGCTTCAATTTCTTTGCTGCTTTTAGTAACAAATTACATAAAGATTTCTCTCTTTTGCATATACAAAAAATAATAGGTAACCAGCTTTGCTGAGGCTACTGTTAAGGTACTAGGGTGTGGTAAAAGAATTAGAAATACCTTTTAAGTGTCCATTTCAATTGAGAAAGAAATGATAGATGTAAAACTAAATACAGAAAAATGCTGACAACGAGTATTGAGTTCCTAGTGCGACTAAAGAGATTCCTGTGGCTTATCCATGGGCACTGTTGAGCTACTTCTGCCTCTTGCAATTTTTGTCCCCATCAATGATCACTTTAGGATATTTCATATAGGATTTTTGCCAGAGAAGGTGTAATCCATGCTTTGTAGACAAAAGAGAAGTCTTCAATTTCATAGCAGTAGCTTCTCTCCATGTGACTTTTAGTGAAGTCACTACTTCTCATTGGCACATTTTTAGTTTCATGGTGTGCATTATGAGACTACACCACATTGCTGCTTCCATCTGAAAGTTCAGAAGGCTGACTGCAATATGCTTCCTAAAATGAAGAGGTTTAAAATTTTACTCTGAGTGGAAATTAAATAATGGCTGTAAGTTTTACATATTTTGTGGTAGCATAAGGTGTATCCCTGCCCTGGCTAAGTTTTCAGATGAACTAATTGCACCTGGGATCAAGATGCATCAAAATATTCAGCAATTTATTTGCAGGTATTTAAAAACTGTCTGTAATCATGTTACCTGCTGGGGCAATCCTAACCATCTGCCACACTTCATTCTTCTTCATAAGCTTTTTGTCCCCATGAGATTTTTCTCCTGACCTGCAGTTAGAATTCAGTAGATGTAAGGAATGACAGAAGATCTTAAACATTGAAGATAAAATTCTGAACACCTTTCAAATCTTTCTTATTCTGCCCTGCCACTGTTGACTAAAGCTGGATTCACCCCATGAACCTAGAAATAAGATCCATTGTTCTTGAGGAAGAGATGAAAATGTCCCAAATTAATTTGGTTTAAATCAGCTTAAGTAAAAAAAAAATATTTCTTTCATCTTCTTCATGAAAGCAGTCAAGATTTTGAGTCAGCTGATTTTGTGATCAATGAATCTGTTTGTGCTTGTTGTAGAAGACAGTGATACCTTCTTCCAAAAGAAAACCTAGATAAGAACTTTTGAAGGTGCTTTCTGGAAGTAGACTAAAATAGAAAGTTGAAGGGTTAGTGCTTTCGCCTCTGAAAGAATAAAACTTAGTACAAGAAACATTTTATGCTTATCCTGAAAACCAGGGAATACCAGGCTGGGGTATGGCATCTATTTAATAGCTGCAAACAGCAGTGTACTACACTACTTTGGAGCAAAATACTGACAGCTTTTCATTATGTTCCACTCTTCATAGGCTTCTTTGGTTTATGATAACATTTTCTGGCCCGTTGTATCTTTACTCTGGTCCTTCCATGTTTATTAATCTTCAGCAGAGGCTATTTGGAGTTGGATTGCAGTCTCTTTATAGGGCTTTACAGCTATCAAAGTTCAATCAAGTATGCTCCCCTCTTCTTTCCTTCCTCCTAAGAAAATGAATCAGGATGAGGAGCTCTTTGGATGTCTTAGCTAAGCAACTGACATCCATGAAGAATGGGAAGGTGAACGGGAACGTGGTGATGCCAGAAATGTCATTACACAGTACTTTTGTCCAAGGAGAAAACCCAAGGTTTTCTTTGTTACCTGCCACTGATGGAGAGTGACTGATACATTGCAATGATCAGTTTAAATGTCAAACAGCATCCCACAATTGTATTGGTCATCTTCACCAGTGTTTCGATTGAGGGACATTTTCCAGCCTATCCCACTGAGAGACAGAGATTGCTTCTTCCATCCAAAATAGAAGAAAAAAAACCAACTAAGTCATTCCATGATACTTGGTATTACATTGCTTTCAATTTTGGGGTTTGTTTTGTTGTGGGTGTGCTATAACAGAAGCAGTGTACCTTACCCAGCCATTCCATGGGTGAGAAGACCCAGGGTGAAGCACTAAGAGTGATTACACTGGTCAATTGTGCTTTAAAAAACTGAATTCTTTAAGAGTTTTACTTTTACCTCGAACTGTAAAGACTGACATCTGCATAAGCAGCAGCTTCTCCCAGTTAAACTGACTCGTGAGCCTGCATCTCTTCTTCCACAGCACAAGATCCAATTCCTTAATGCAAGGGCCCTGTTCTGAAAACACTGCTTGGTTTTGGGCTTTGTGGTCTATTCTGAGCTATTGCCTAAAAGCCTGATTATTAAACATTTATTATAGCAAAGCCTATTTTAACTTCCTGCCCAGAGGGCTGGCTGGTGATAGTGGAGGGTTTAAACCCTAGTGGGCAATCCACTGTCTGCCCATTTTCCAATAGGTATGTGCACTGTCTGAATACAGAAGGTTTTGCTAAACTTTTGCCTGGGTTGAAAAATGCTAAGCTTGAACTGACCACATATGGTATATTGATTTGGCAGCTGAGTTCAGATACACAGAGGTACTGATCTGTTAAGACTCCTTCTAAAACCTGCTGGTTTTGAGCAAATGTGGGTAGCAGGGCATTGTGAAGTGTAAGTGTCAGGAAGTGCCTTGAGGATCACTGGATAAAGGATGTTTGGTGTTCACAGAAGCAGCATTAAAGACTGAGTGGCAACTGTAATAGGATGGTTCAGGGTCATTGTAGTCATAACTGCAAAGTGTTTCATCATGATTTTATAGAAAGTGCAAGGAAAGATACATCATTAAAGACAGAGCCCCACTAAACATTTATGGGGCAGATGACTTAGAGTTGAAGAAGTGAGTTAAAGAGTCACATAATCTACAAACTGACCAGAATATAGCTTTTGCCAAATTGTAGGAAATTATCAGTGCAAAGGCAGGGCAAACACAGACTACAGAAAAAATCGACAATCAATTTTCAACGCCATGAATATTTTTGAGAGATTGAGCTCTAAAATGTATTTTTATTGAGTTTCTAGATTGTAATGAATGTGTCTACAGAATTTTATGCAAAGCTTGAGAGTTCAGCTGTTTTAAAATGATTTTTTTATATAGCAGTGATTATTTTATCTATATATTTAATAGAATTGTAAAACCATTTTAAGAGTACCTGTAAAATTCTATGTATGTGATACGATTATTTATTAATTATGACTCATGAGAATGAACATTAAGCTATGCATTGGTTGTGTCATCCATTTGAAAACTGGAAACTGCAAACAGGAGAGGAGCTTTTAATGAACAGCAGATCTGAAAAGCAGGGGAAATGATTGAATACATTTGTGTGATTCTTAAAGCTGCATAGCAATATGTCATTTTGTGATGTTAAACTTTCAGCTGAAGTTGCAAAATATACTGAGTGATTGAGCTACTTTCTTCCATTAAAACTTCCTGAGGCTGAAATTTCTACATGTTGATATTTGGCGCCTAAACACACTTAAATCCCGTACATTTTCTGGACACTCCCAGTTTACTCCTGTTCAGTAGGACTATAACTTCTTTATTCAAGTAGTGCTCCACTGACTTCAAAAGGGTACCATGCTGTACCCAGTGGGGGTTTTTAGGGTTCTCTGCACTAATCCTCAAAGAATTTGAGCTTTAGGAGATTCACTTGGCCAGTGTGTGTGGTATCACATTCAGCCATCTAACACAATAATAATTATAATTGTGCATTATCACTTATGCTAGCTTTAAATACTTGGGAGTCCCTTCTTGCCAAGCACAAACGTGAATGCATCCAGAGATGTGTTCAGTTCCTCTACTTCTGTGGAAGTCAGTGCAACACATCTGTGTGCTAAGCACACACTACAAGATCTGGCCCTGAGGGCACTTAAAACAACATCAACCGCATAGGCCAGGAAGTCACTGAAGCCTATGCAATGCCCATGCAAATCCAATGTACACCAACCATACACCACTCACTTCAGTTACCTCCATGTTACACAGAGCGTTTGTTTGCCTAAATCTGCAGAATCAACCTTCCAAAGAGAGGGAGTTCTATCTACTTCTGTCTTCAATTAAGAGAACAGCAGCAGGGAACAAATAACTGGAAAGGAAGGGTGAGGTTTCAGACTGGAGTATGGCCATGGAAGTTCCCAAACTGCTTCAGCTGAAAGCTCATACCCTGACAATAGGTTGCCTGCTGTTTCCATTGAGCTAATACGTAGCAGATCTGAATGGAGGTAAAAACCACAAAATCCTTTGTATTTTTGCATTTTGCAGGGTTTTGTCAAGTAAATAACTTCCCCTGGCACACCACTGATAACACTAATTTACAGCTGCCCCAATTTACCATTGTTCCCATTCCAGGTTTGTATATAAACAGGACACACCGTGTGGCTTGTGCTTTCCCATTCCAGCCCAAGATCATGAAGCCATTCATGCAGGAGGATGGGATACATGCACATTCAATGATGTGGAAATCATTGTGTCATGTTCTTTGTGGAGTAGCTTGCTTGCTCTGTCCATTGCTTCACACAACTCCAGAGCTCACAAAGGGTGAAAAATTAATCCTTATTTTTTCAAGTGCCATAGTCATTTCAGGGTTATCTTAACTGAAATTGTAGAACATCAAAGAATTTCTGTCCTCCACTAAATGTAAGACATGGAAAACCTCCTCCCACCTTAGTGGCACTTTTGACAATTCCTTTCCAAGCAGCTGCTACTGCTGATACTGGAAAATGAGACCCATGCTATTTCTCTCCATAGTGGGGGGAAATGTCTTAAGTTTGTGTCTCTGGAACATAAAACTGGCCCCTGAGTGATTAGTATTTTCTTTTTTTTAAATTTC